TTGGACCTAGTAATTCTGGTGTTTTTCTTCTGACCAATGAAATAATAGGATTTCATATTTGGCGCTGAATTTTGGCAGGAAGCACTCCTTTAGATAAGATAAGTTTAGATAGGGAATTTTAGGAGGAGATTTCCGGTAGCTATCTCGAGGCTTTTTCTCGGCGACCGTCATGGTGTGCACTTGAGCCAGTTTGAGCATTTTTTCTTTTCTCGGTATAATCCGTAGAAACCCTTCGGGGGATTTGAAATTTTTTGAAATTGTTCAAAACATCAGTGATTCTGGCCATGGACCTGTGTAGGATTTGTTCCCACTTTTCGGAGACTGCCTGATGTCCCCAGGAAGCCCTGCAGCCGGCTTTTTCAGCGTATGAAGACTCCAAACTAATAGTTCTTCAAGTCCTTCCTCCCTTCTCAGAAGGTAAGTCAAATGCAGAGCAATGACTATCAACTTGGTGAGCAATATTTCCTTTCAAAATCAGTTTTTTTCTGTTCTCCACGTGTCTGTCAAGAGGTTATATCAACCTGTTAATTTTTTAACAGGGTGTTAGGGTATGGCTTAGCTGCCTTCGGCTTCTAGTAGCGAACAGCTGAGGGGATAATCTCTCGACCTTGGTCATGATTCCCAAGAGGACCAGGTCGCTCATTTTATCCTGACCAGAGTCGACAGGTGGCCCAGATCAAGCCCAGTAGTAACCGGTCAAGCTGACCGGCTGAGCCACACCACTGAGCCCTACTGTGGACTGTGGAGGTCCATCAACTTCTTTTTGTTCCTGTCTTCGTGCCTGTCTTCGTCTTCATCTTCACGAGCATGCCTACTCACCATAGTGGACCTTGGATAGGGGTGATTAGACCATTGGAGAGGACCCTCCAATAGACCAGGTTTTTTTATTCCATCATTTTTTTATCTGAATTTAATATTTCAACATTTTGATCATAACCATATTTAACATGTATGAAGCTCTTGTGAAGCTCTCCCATAGTACTATGTGACAGCGGTTTCAGGTTTTTTACAGATTATTGTCTAATCATTTTTTTTGAGATTTATACATCCCATTTTATAGTTGGAATATGATGATTGCTATACCCAAACGCTAGTCATATAAAGAGGTGGTAATTGTCATGGTGTAGGTTGATAAATTTTGATAACATACAATAATTTTGAATTCCCTTAGAAACAGTCATTTCATGGTTATGATAATTTTTATGATACTTTATGGTTATGATATTTTATGGTCATATGCTACTTTGAGATATTTCATGATAACACATGCTACATATTCTGACATTTTGGTCTCTACACTGGTCTTCATAAACCCTGTCTATTATGGTGTTAATAAATAGGTCTGAAATTTGATATGGTTTTATTCATCTACTTGTGTTGACACTGCCATTTAAGAAGATTTTTTCATATTTCTATTTCAGGATTAAGTTTTGGAAAATACTGTAAGTATCCAACTAATTGGTTTTCTCAATTATCCAAGTATCAGTAATTGTTTTGTAAATTGAGTGGCGCCCTCTGAACTTGAAATTTAACTATCTGCAATCACAACGAATCCACTTATCTGTTCTCTGGCGAAGAGCTGCCGTTCGCACATGTGTCTTATATTTTTATGCAATTTTGGTTTATATCAAAAAAATATAAAAAAGTATTCCATAAAGTGAGTCAATAATACCGTCTCCGAGAAAAAACTGCAAGTCCTTTTATCTTCCATTGGACTTCGCGGTTACGTACCTATATTACTAAACAACCACTGAATTCGCAATTTTTCGAAATCAAATCACAGAATTAGACTGACAAAAGTGACATCAGATATTTGATTACTTCAAAAGAATGATAAAGATGCCTACAACGCAGGTGTCCCTACTGTTAAAAACTTGAAATTTTACGTCGATAATTTTCAGATTTCAAAATAATGTAATATCTCCTCAATATTGATTCGTCCTTTCTTCTGTCACAGAAAAAAATAGTGTATTATACACGGGAAAAATATTAGATTTTAGCTCACGCACAACCTGGAGCTAAAATCCTCTACTTTTTTCCCTTGTATAATAAATAACTATTGGATTACATATATATATTCCAGGTTAGACCTCACGTAAAAGTTAAATAGTGTTATAATTGTATTTGTATTATTGAACTCTTTTGTACTCCTTATGATGAAACCTAACATTCGATTTGACGATGAAAATGAATTTATGATCAAAGGTTATTCCAAGATTCATTTCATTCACTCGACTAATTGGAATGTTACCAATGACATAATGAAATTCTATAATATTCTTCTTTCTAGAAAATGATAAGATAATACATTTCGATATACTCAAATGTAAATGAAAACTGGTGCACCAATCGAATACCAAATCGATTTTATTTTGTAGATTCAAGCAATGTTCATAACTGTCGATAACTCCGTATAGCTTTAGGTCAGTTTATCTTCTTTGCTGAGTCATCAATAAAGAGCAAGAATAAAAGAGGCCCTCAGTTTGAGCCTTATGGCACTCTTGAGCTAGGTGTATACAACGAAGACTGAAAATCTTCATGTTCTGCGAATTGTTTCCTGTTGAAGAGATAACTTGTAAAAAGTCCAATTACACTTCCAGAAGAGCCAAACGATGATAGTCTGTGGGGAAGAATGTGAAAATCTATTTGGTCAAACGCTTTTTGCATGTCCGTATAAACTACGTCAACCTGTTGCTTTTGATCTAAAGCATCCGCATATTGTGAGAGGCATGCAAGATTGGTCAAACACGACATTTTCTCCACAAACCCATGTTGATCGTAGGATATCACATTTCTGATCAAGTTATTAATAAAACAATATGAAATTATTTCGAAAAGTTTCGAGAACCTGCATAATATAGAAATAGGCCTATAATTTTTCAACAGGGTTGCATCCCCTTTCCTCAAGGGCACACACGGGTTGTTTTCCACACCACAGGAAATGTAGAGGTTTTGAGTGATAGGTTGAATATGTGAAGCACAGGGGTTAGTAAGGGGAGGATACAATCTTTCACCAGAAAGCATACTACATAGGGATATATCCGATTGATATATACACTTTTGAAATAGTTGGCGAAGGCGTCAAATTCCTGAGGTTAGGTCGAATCTGTGTTATTGGCATTCTTCATAATACCGGGAATCTTAGAATTGCATCTTTAATTTTGAATATAATCCCAGAAAGTACTTGAATTTTCGTGTATATTGTTTTCACTCTCATAGATGAAGTTTTTATGAACTTCATTTATTCGTAGTTTAAAAACGGAATAATATGAGGCAATATACAGTACACAGTAGCTTATACAACACAACTAGCGGAGTATCAGACGGGATGAACCGGGCGCTTGGTGGAATAGCAGATGTATGATGCTACAGTCAAATTTACCCCACCATTTCTGGGCAGAAATACCAGAACAACTTTCGAAGAATGGAAGAGAAAAAACCAACGGTATCTTATTTCAAAGTATTCGGATCTAAAGTATTCAGTTTGATTCGAACAAGTAAAGGAAAATTCGAACCCAAATCGAAAGAAAGCATTTCTTCAAATTTCCAGTAGGTTCTCGAATAAATAATGTAGAGAATACCCAGATAAGATTATCCACCGATAAATGATGATGAAAATCGAGATACAATCCATGCGAACCATGAACACCAATCTAAAACTTCAGCTGAAGGAAGTAATCAAGACCAGGTATCCAAATTCAGAAGAGGGAGAGGAAGATCTGCAATTATGAGAAATGGTACTCGAGAAAGATCTTGAAAAATATTCCATATGCTAGAAGATATGCCGGAGGAAGCAGCTCAGATTATGATTAAAGAAGCCGGGAAAGGACCTTTTGCAGCAGAATACATGGCACTTTCTGAATCCGCAAAGGAAGCTGTTTACCTGAGAAACTTTCTGAGAGAAATCAAATTCTAACATGAATGAAGAGTAGTCTTCTACTTCAATTCATTACGACAACCAAGGGGCACAAGAGCTGATGCGAAACCCAAGTCACCATTCACGGACAAAAAACATCGACATTCGTTATCATTATATCAGGAAATATTTGAGATGGAATGAATCGATGTGGAATTTTTACCTACCGACAAAATGACTGCCGAGATTTTTACTAAAGGACTTTCCAAGGATATGTTCCAGAAGCATTCTAAAGAGATACAACTCACTAAAGATATCTCACGTTGAGGGAGGGTGTTGGAAATACTCATTCACCTACAACGTGTGTCTTTTTTAAAGTTAGTTAGTTAACTAAGTTAGTTCATTGTACCAGTATATCACCTGACGAAGCTACTGTGTTAGCGAAACATGTCGTGTGTTTGAGAATTTTGTGGAAATCTTATCGTTTGTGAAGTTTTTACATTTGCCATGGATTTCCATCAAGTAACGGCCGTCAATTAAAAAAAAAGTGTGTCTTTTTATATTCATATATCACCCTATGTGATATGGTATTATTGTAATTCATAGTGTTGACAGAAAATAGTCTCTCTCAAGTACCTGATGATTATATATTTGCATCTACAGTTTTCCTGTGTAATTTCTAATCTAACAAAAGATGTATATCAAAAAACAAGAAAGGGGACAAAATATTCACCAATAATATTGTGCAACTAAATACCAATGGATTCAGTATTATAAAACTGAAAAACCGGAACAATATAACATTGATGACATTGTCTTACACTCTCAGGAGTGACCATGTTTTGTAAAATTGTTTTTATGTACTGAATACTATTTCAAATAAATGGATTAATTCACAAATATTCGGATTGTGATCAAGGCACAAGAAAAAAGTAGGTTGATTTTGTTAATTTGTACAATTTTATTTTTATATGTAGTGTTGAAATATTCCATTATTTTAACTATGTTTGTTACGTACCTGAACAAAACGACTGTGTACGTATATGTTTTCACAACTCTCTTTGCATTCAAATCTATCTATTGATCAATTTACCGTTATGTTCTTTATTTTTGCTTTATCGATTATAATTATCCTAATATTTACCTCTGTTCCTTATCAACAACTTTTTTCAACATAGTAGGGATTCCACTCATCAGAAATTTTTTTCTAGCCTCAATTACTATCGGGTCATCTTTGGGTTTTGGCGTCGATTTGGTGAATACAGGAGCCACTTTAACCCTATTTTTTGATTTCTTTTCGGTACAAAAATCTTCACTTCCAGATGAAATATCGATAGCACTTCCAATCGAGGCTGAAAAATAAATATCAAATGTAAAAAGTGTGTCTTTGATATTTAATTATCTTCAAAAGTAGTATACAGTAGTACATGTTGAAACGTATATACAGTGAGGACCAAAATTTTACATTACAAAAAATGTTAAAAGCTTTCAAAAGGTGAGGATAGGAAAGTGAAATACATTGAGTTCCATTTGTAACGGTTTCCTCACTGAACTGGTACTAAAATAATCAAAAGAAATCGAAATTTATAATAGTTCATAATTCCAAGACTATGAACTTTAACGATATAAAACAATCCATCAAACTTGTTAAAAATTTAACGTAGAATATAAATATGATCTACATTGAATTCTGAAGGAAAACGTTATCTACAACTTTTTTGTAAAATGAACGGTTACGGAGATATGGAGTTAAAAAAATTACATAATTTCAAGGTTGGCAAAAATATGATGAAATCGTATTTACGCATGCGTATTTGGAATGAACTCCTCTTCCGAGTCGAATTGTAGCCGTCTGAGAACTGCCTAACGGTACCAGGAAGGGCCCAGTTGCGATTTTTTTATAAATTTATGCGGAGGAGAAAATAATTCAAATATTTGATATTCTTAATACTTAATATTTCTTTATATGTTTAATGCTTGTATTCTTCTGTACGGAAACAATAGCATTGCTTCCTGTTCAGTTGATATAGATAGAACATGGTATTCACTACTGAAAACTGAACATGAAAATGGTAGATTCAAGATCAATTAATGAAAACATCCTGTAACCCATTTGTAGACTACAATCACTCATTCATATGCCAACATCAGTATGACACTGAGAAGTATCAAACTATAAGCAGAGCACAGAGACAAAAATATTTTGCATTTTCATGTTGAGAACGGGAGCAGATTCGTTCTCAAAGATAAGTTAAAATTCGATATTTTTTCATTATATACATATATATTTCTTTCCTTCAAACATTTTTCCAAAGTGTCACTGCCAAACTACTGGATTTTTTTTTAGGCTCCCTGATATATACATTTGTTAAACGCAGTGACATTTTGGGGCAAATCATCTGATTTGTCCCACTACAAATATATTGAAATAATACGCATATTTATATTTTATAGAAATGAGGAGAGAAAACCCCAAAAAATCAAGTATAAAGGAATAATAATAGTTATTTATGTATCAAGGTCGTAAAGTCGGTGTTTATGGCCTGTGGCGTGAATAATGGCCTGATGGCGCTAGCCTAGGGCCATTACACGCTGAAGGCCATAAACGCATTTCACGCACGTGATACATACAAAATTTCTGACTCAAAAGTAATGACTATAGATTTCGATAAACTAATATTCCCCCGAATTTAATTTGTTACGGATAAATTCAGCAATCAAGAGAAGCGTAAAGTTCATGGATTATTTACATATAAAAACTAACGTACGATTATTGCAATTATCGTAATAGTCAAACTCTTTGATCACTAGAAGAGATTCATTCTTCAGAATTTTACAATATGCATAGTGCATACCCAGTATGTATACCTAATTTTGACGCTGTCAAGCAAGCTGATGTTTGTTGTCTATAGCAGTGATAGCAATACATTCAATAAACAAGCTGAATTGTCATTATTTGACTGAAAACTAAAAATTAGTGATGATAATAATAGCAAGACTATGGAATAGGATAAAGAAGAAGTTTATGATATACCACTGGATATATTAGAATCTAGGAAAAAGATCATAGGTTTTTCATTATTTGATATGTGGATATAAGGAAACTGAGAACAGCGGGCGGTAAAGCGCACTTTACGGCCCGTGGGCCATAATGAGTCCGCGGGCGGTGAAGTGCAACTTAACGCCCGCAAAACCGGTAGGCACTTTACGGCCCGCTATCGCATAAAACAATGAAATTGTGCTGTTACAAGCGCGTACCCAGCGAGAGACAGGGGGATGCAGTAGTCCTTCCCTAGAACCAGAGCTGGACTGGGCCACCGAGCGATCGGGCTTTCGCACGAAGGCCTGGTTCATTTTTGCCCGCTGGCCTGGGCCTGCCTGTTGGAGCTTTATTTTTTGAATATTTGGTAGAAATTTGAAATTTCATACAAACGCATGTTCATTATACTCAGTGGCGTAACATTATTTTTTTGACCCCAACGCAAAATTCATAAAAACTCATAAACTCCAAAAGTTCAAAAAATTCCAACACCTATAGTCTGGTTCCTAAAAGATGACCAGCGAGAAGAATGTGAGCCCAGAGCACAATTTAAATGTTGCGTTCATCAACTCACTGTCAATTTAAAAACGGAATACCAAACGCTAGAAATGGTGGTATCAGTTCAAAAGTGCAGTCAGTCATATCGTTCGTGACTTGATTGAAGCGACTGCAAGACCGAATTGTTTAGATACTTTAGGCTCAGAGTACTGAACGCCTTCATCCTCTCCCTTTCGTCCTTTTCAGAGTTTGAAATATAACTCAGCGTTTTTTACAGAAAAATACTACAGCCCAAAGTACACCAGAAGTCCCAAAAAAACTGTGAGTAAAAAGCAGTAGTATTTTAATTAAAGAACTATTTAGTTCGGCAGAGAATCTATGACCCACAATATTCATATCAAGTACTTATACAATATGGATCCTTTTATTAGATATGTTGATAGTAAAATAGTAGAAACATTAGTGGCTCTGTTACGAAAGAGCGCTGTACAAAATAGCGAGTTACAAAACGGCGGTAACGAAACAGCGCTGAACAGAATAGCGCTGTGACAAAAGAGCGTGTAACAATACAGCGCTGTAATAAAGCAGCGCGTGTAACAAAACAGCGCTTCTAACATAACAGCGCTATAATAAATGAGCGCTATACAAAATAGTGCTGTACAAAACAGCGCTTAACTAAAGAGCGCTGTGACAAAATAACGCGTAACAAAATATCGATGTGATAACATAGCGCTATAACAGAAGAGCGCTGTACAAATTAGCGGTTACATAAGGACAACACAACATACAATATAATGAATAATACAAAAATATTCTTTTGAAAAGGAAACACAGTTAGGTTCTCTAAGTTTGATGATGATACGTGTTCGCCACACGGGATGTGGAAAATTCTGGAATTGATGAAATAGTCAATTACGTATCTGTAGAAGCAAATTTCCATCGTTCAAGTTCGATCCCCCACTATAGAGAATATCAACAATTCATGACAGTGACGCTTTAAGTGACTACCTAATTTCAAATCAGTCGAAATGGCAGAATATGTGAAATCCCAAAAGGGCAGAGAAATGTTGATATTTGAAGGATATAGATATAGGAAAGATAAAACAAATATCGCTTCAAAGACATGGAGATGCGCAAAGGGCACCTGTAGAGGCAGAGCCTCAACGAAAAACAGTTCTCATAAGGTGACCAGAGAACATAATCATGGGCCATGTGTTAAACAAACAGAAGCATTAACAATCAAACAGAATATAAGAGACATGGCAAAAACCACTGACGAACGTCCGAGAAGTATTATTCAACAGTGCTCGCAAGACGTCACTCCTGAAGCAGCTGTACTCATACAGAGCTATGACGCTGCGAGGATGATGATCCACAGAGAAAGAAAGAAAACTTTGCGAAATGATGGAATATCAGCTACAAACATTCAACAAATAGAAATACCAGGAGAATTCAAAAAAACATTCAGAGGAGATACATTCCTACTGTACGACTCAGGAAATGAAGATCAAAACCGAATGATAATATTCGGTACGTATAACAATCTGGCTTTATTACATGAATTTGGCGACTGGTGTGTAGACGGCACGTTCAAAGTTGCCCCAAAATTGTTTTACCAAGTATACACCATTCATTGCTTAGTAGACAGTAAGGCAGTTCCTATGATATATGCATTGCTGTGTAACAAAACTAAAAATACTTATATAAGATTGTTTACCAAGATAAAAGAGCTGGGGAAGAATCTTACTCTCACACCCTCTAGCATATTATCGGATTTTGAGCAAGCAGCCCACCGTGCGATCGAAGAGGTATTTCCAAACGCAGAAGTGGTGGGATGTTTTTTTCATTTATCTCAAAATCTATGGAGGTAAATACAAAAAACGCCAAGTCTTGTTGCCAAGTATAAGGAGCAGGAAGAGATAAGAAAGCATTGCAAGTTTCTCTTGGCTCTCGCGTTCGTGCCAGTGAGAGATGTACCGTTTGCGTTCGAAATTTTGAAAGAAGTAGGTTTTCCAAAAGAAATGGAAACCGTCGTGAACTATTGGGAGTCCACTTACGTAGGCACAAGGACAGAAGGTATTCGTCCCGTTTTTCCATTTCTGTTTGGAATATGTATGACAGACTGCAATCCCATCTACCTAGAACAAATAATTCCTTGGAAGCTTGGCATAATGCCTTCCAGCAAACTATAGACTGTCACCATCCATCAATGGCAAGATTTTTAAATAAACTGAAGCAGGAACAAAGCACCAATGAAATATTCATAACAAGATTCAGGACCGGATTCAGATCCCCAACTTGTACAAAAAGCAGATATTACCAAATAAATCAGCGGCTTATAAATATTTCCAAAGAATATTCCTTGACGACTGTTGAAAATCACCTATGTTTTATTGCAAATAATCTGTCATTGTGATGATATTTTTAAGAGAATTGAAAATGTTAGCTTGTTTTTCAGTACTTGAATGTTCACTGTTTGACCATATATCGTATTTTTTATTAAATAAATATAGTTGTTTGGTTGAAATTGAGAGCGAGAGTGTAGTACGCATTTTCTTAACAATGCGCTATTTTGTTACCGCACTTTTTATATGTAGTTCTTTTTCATCACAGCGCCTTTATGTTACAATCGCTGTTTTATTGTAGCGCTGTATTGTTGCACGCTCTTTTGTCACAGTGTTATTCTGTTCAGCGCTGTTTCGTTACCTCTCTTTTGTTACTCGCTATTTTGTAAAGCGCCCTTTCGTAATAGCGCTCTGTTGTCACAGCACCGTTTTGTTACAAGCGCCGTTTTGTTACAGCGCTCATTTGTTA